CTAGAGGCAGGATGGGACTTGCATTTGGAGTTAGAAAGCCTCAGTTTGAATGGAGGTCTGCTATTTACTATCTTTGTAATTTTGGATAAGTCATTCCCATCTCTGGATTTCATCGCCTTCATTTTTCAAAAGACAGAGATGTACTAGAAAATCTCAGGTCCCTACCAGCCCAACACTACTAATAGTCCACTGTTTTTTTCCACCACCAGTGCTACGACTCTCTCTCCCCACTTCTTTCCTGCATGGCATGGAGGTAAGCAGAAACAATAGAAGACATGAGGTTTTCTATTTTTTCCCAGGCCAATTTTAGATGAAAAGCAAACAAAGAAAATCCTTTTCTAAGGAAGCAGTGTGGAAAGAATGCTGGATAACCAGTTTGAAGGTCTTGGTTCAAATGTGATCTTTGCCCCCTGACCATGGAGAAGTCACTTCTCTGTAAAATGAGGGAACTGGGTCCCTTTCAGCACTAAGTCTGATTGCCTGAATGCTTAACTGATACTTAAAGAGAGTAGGATTTGATCCCAAGGACACTCTTTAACTAAAGCTATACAAATAGAATATAAAATTCCCTCTTGTGTCCTTTTTTTTGAGCCTTACAAGAGACATTCTTTCAATCCAGGAAACAATCAAATACAATAAATACTCGAGGGGGAAAAAAAAGCAAAACAAAACAATGATGAAAAATCTGTCCTTGGCTCGTGAGAAACTGTCCTGTGTCTGCCACCTCATTGATTTTATGAAGCTCCCACAGCACTCAAAAAGCACTTCTGGTAACTCACAACACCAACAGCCAAAAAAAGAATGTGCCATCACAGGCTGAACGAGATTGCCCACCTGTGCCCAGCTTCCAGAAGAAGCCGGGCTGGGCCTAATGGAATCAGCAATTGAGCCATACAGAAGTTCACTCATTCAGTTGTACAAGTCAAGATGTTTTTGAGGGGCTACTATGTGCACAGCCCTTCACAGAGTAACACAACTCTCTTTTTCAGTAGCAGCAATGTTAAATGAAAATAGATGTATTTTGACTGCTGATTTTTATATTGGAGAAAAGTTCCAAAGGCTTGATATGGTACTGGAGAGTGGACTATTAATATCTGGAAGTCCTGGAGCTTTTGAACACTTGTCTTCAAAACCTGTGTGGGTGAAAACCAGGGACTTGTACCCCACTGACACACCGGCTCAGTTCTGGCATCATTTCTAGTCATATCTTTGTTCCAGTTAAATTACTTCATACATATTTTTCAGGAATTTTTACACCAAGTAAGTAAACCAAAAACATATTACTGGAGCAAGCAGCCTCAGTTAAAGGAGGCAGATACCCTCAGGACACTGGTATGAGGACACAGTTGCCAAGAGGAGTAGGGGGCAGGATGGAAGCCAGGGAGAAGAGGAGGAGGTCATTCCAGTCGACTAGAAGTTATCTTCGTATTTTAAGTAATTGTTTTTTTGCAAACTAAGTGATAAACTTTTGTTTCTACCCTGATGAAGAACCCTGACTTTATTGCTTTGGAGAAGAGCTCTGATCTCCCCATGCTAGTTTTGGCTCTGTTTCCAATAGTGGTTTGATGTACAGCACTGGATTTTGTCGTCGTTGTTGTGGACATTGTTGTTGTTTTGGGAGTATGTATATGTATATGTGTGTGTATATGTATATATATATATATTATATATATATACACACACACACACACGTATGTATATCAATATATGTATGTATATACATATACATATAAGCATGATGCACTTTAAAGATTCAGTCTTCAGTGAAAGAAAAAAAATTGGGGATTGATGCATCTGGAGTTTCAACAACAGGGTGCAATTAGCTTTGGTCTTTGATCTACAGCTCAGTTTCAATCTGTATTTAAAAGAAGACTTCAGGCTGCTCTGAATAAATAGTTTTTGTATAGCTAAGAACAGAAGAAGGCATTTTTTTGCTAAGGCTATGCTTTGTAACTCTGTCAAATGCATAAGTCAAAATCATTTGACCACAGTAGGCTTACCTCAACCCCTTGATGTTCACAGATACAAAAACTACCTCAGCTCAAACAAAGCACGTTTGTACAAGTACTCTCCAGCCTAGAGGCTGTTTCTGCCCTAAGACTAAGCTTCCATGTCCTTTCCCCCCATGCTTCCAAGGACACTAGGATGACATGTTGATTGTGAAGAACGCAGGTACTGGCAATCATTTCAGGACTACAAGGGTTTCCAGAGTGTTGACTCTGTGCTAGCCCTGCATTGGACTGAATAAGATGATTGTTAGATTCACTTCAGAAAAGAATCATGGATTTTCAGAGTTGGAAGAGAACAGAGACCTGATTCAACCCTGTCCTGAAACACCAGTCCCCACGATGAACTGCAACAGGTACAAATCCATCCAACACTTCCAGTGATCCACTTTCATTATTAAAGGCAACATGGCATAAAGGTTAGAGTGTTGGGGTTATAGTCAGAAGACCTGGGTTCAAATTCTGCCTCATGCAATTACTAATTGTGTAACTATGGGGAATTCATTTGACCTCACAGACCTTGCTTACTTCATCTGTAAAATGAAGGGATTGGATTTAATAGCCTCTAAAGTCTCTTCTATATCTAAATCTATGATCCAGATATTTACATAGGCAGCCCATTCTATTTTGGACTTTTGTAATTATCCAGAATTTTCTCTTATATTGAGCCAAAATTTACCCCCTTAAGTGTTTTCTTCTCTGGGCTATTCATTCTCAGTTTCCTTCCAAGGATCCCTGTATCATAGTTATCCCAGCTCTTTAATGATATGTATATATATAATATACTTACTAATGGATTTATATTATGTTAGAATTTATTTATACACATGCAGTACATATGTATGCAACATATCTACACACATATATGTGCACATGGATGCCATGTCTACACATGTAATGTATTTACATGTGTGTATATAGTGTATCCACACATGTGTGCATATGACACATCTACATTATGCAAGCATATAATGTACTTACATACCACATGTATATGATGCAGTACATGTATGATGTATTTTTATATATACTATAGTCACATGTATGCTTACATAATGTATGTGTGCATATGAACATATACATATGTGTGTATACCAGACTTGTAATTTTTTTTGCTAGAGAGAATGCTTTCTACTTATGCTGATTACCACCTTCTCTGCAATTTATTTTAGACAATAGTTTGGAGGCACTGAGATTAAGTGATTTGCTTATGGTCACACAGTCAGTATGGGGCAGCCAGGTAGCACAGTGGAGAGAGAGTACCAGGCCTGAAATCAGGAAGACTCATATTCGTGAGTTCAAATCTGGCCATAGACACTTACCAGCTATGTGAGTCTGGGCAAATCACTTAACCCTATTTGCCTCAGTTTCCTCATCTATAAAATGAGCTGGAGAAGGAAATGGCAAATGACTCCAGTATCTTTGCCAAGAAAATATCAAATGGGGTCACTAAGAGTTGGAAACAACTGAAAAATAACAGAACAGCAGCAACAGAAACATAATCAATATGTGTCAAAGGCTTAAACCTGGATCTTCTTGCCTGAGGCTGGCTCTCTGGCCTTTGCACCAGAGGTTCTTGATCTTTTTGGTGTTATGGACCCCTTTTTCAGTTTGGTGAAGGTTATGGACCACTTCTCAGAATAATGTTTTCAAATAATTGAAGGAAATGCTAAATTTCAGTTAAAACTGAATGAAAATAAAGATGTAATTTTTCCCTATCCAAGTTCACAGACCCCCTAACATCTCTACATGGATGCACTGGACCCTGCACTATACCATGCTTCCTTCCTCTCACCAAGACTTTTATTGGATGTTAAACAAATCAAAACTAAAATTTCCTATGAGAAGTTATTACTTTGATGATCTAATGATGTTGAAAGAAAGAAAGAAGGAAAGAAAGAAGGGAGGCAAGGAGGGAGGAAGAAAGGAAGGAAACAAAGAAAGAAAGAGAGGGAGGAAGGAAGAAAAAATGGAAAGAGAGAAAGGAAGAAAGGAAAGAAGGAAGAAAGAAGGGAGGAAGGAAGAAAGGAAGGAAAGAGAGAAAGAAAGAGAAAGAAAAAAGGAAGAAAGGAGAGAAGAAGAAAGGGCAAAAGAATAGAGAAAAGAAGGGAGAAAGGGAATGCCAGAACTGAAGAAAACCTTAGAGATCCCTAATCAATCCAGAGAATATAAGCAACTAGTCTAAGGTCACATAGCCTAATGTAAATACATGCAAATTAATAGCGTTCTACTTGTAGAACAATGGATAATTCAGCTTGTATTGTAAATGTAAAAAAAAAAAGTAAAAATAAAAAGATTAATTTTATGTTTACCCAAATGCTGTGTATAGAGTCAGCAGGACAATAGAAAACAAGGTTAAAGTTCATTTGTTTGAAATGAAGTCTAATTGGGACTTTGAAGATAAGATTTAGAGCTGGAAGGGGTCTCAGGGGTTTTTTACTCTAATACCCTCATTTGACAGATTAGTAAAATGAGGCCCAGAGATGTTAACTAACTTGGGAAAGATTATACTGCTTGTGTCAGAGAAGAATATGAACTCATGTCCTCTTACTCCAAAGTTCAGGAAGTGACTTGCCCACCACCACATAAATAATAAGTAGCACCAGGATTCTAACCCAAGTTTTCTGATTCCAAAGCCAGCAATGTCTCCACCATACTGTGCTGCCCTTTCAGCCTTTCCGTGAAGGCTGGAGCTGACTTGGCAAAATAATGAAGTAGACAGAATTTGTTTTTGATACCCAAGGCTTCTCCTTTCCTGGCCCTTTCTATACCTAATACTGTGCTATTTCCCACACTTTCAGGAGTCAAGACCCCTCGTGTCCTTTTCTTGGGAAAGTATAGCAAAAACTGATAGGAAAAAGATCTGATCAGTTCCTTTTCACCAAGGTGTGAATAAGGCATAAATGTTACCTTTCCAATGAACGTTTCAGTTTTAACAGAAGACTCAAAACCTTAAGGCAATGCAATGGTTCTCCATGGAATTTCACTCAACCAGAGAGTCACTTGTGGGCAGCTTTTTGGGGATCCATAAAAGGCAAAGGTTCCCTTGCTGTCTGAAGTCACAGGTAAGCAACCATCTAGTTATATACTCTCTGTATATAGTTAGTCTTTGAATCTTATTAGTTAGTATTTGAATTTTGACCTGCAGGTATTTCCTGAAGGCCAGTCCTGCTGAGGACAAAAGCAGAATATGCTCTTAATACAGACTCCATATTCTTGAAATCTCCAATTAAATAGGGCCTCCAGGAACAAACAATAGAGAGATGAAAAATTCCCTTTCAGAGTCCTCGTGTTTAGTCAGGTGGGCAGCCCACACTGGAGGGGAACCTGAGGTGATGATGCTGGCTGTATGGGAGAAAACAGTGCAGAGTGTCAGGGGTGGTTCCCAGCTCTCTTTTCTCATGGAAAATGAAAATGTGGAGGAAACAGACATCATGGATTATTGAAAACAAGGACTTGGAAAAAATGGGTCTAGCACACAGAAATCTTCTACACTTTTGCTTCAATCTCTTCCTCCCTGAGGTCAGTCAAAAAGCAATTACTAAAAACCTACTATCTTCCTTAGCATGCTAAGTGCTGGCCATATAAAGAAATGCAAGATAGTCCCTCTCTTCAAGCAGCTCATACTTTAATGGAGGAGATAACATGAAAACTATTTATACACACACTCATGTATACACATACATGTGTATACATATACACATGCATATATGTATGTGTATACACATGTTGTATATACATGTTGTTGTTCAGTCATTTCAGTTGTCTGACTCTTCATGAGCCCTTTTTTGTGGTTTTAGATACTGGAGTGGTTTGCCATTTCCTTCTCCAGCTCATTTTGCAAATGAGAATACTGAGACAAACCGAGTTAAGTGACTTGCCCCGGATCACACAAGTAGTAAGAATCTGAGGCCAGATTAAGACTCATCTTCCTGACTCCAGGCCCAGTACTCTACTCACTGTGCCACCTAGCTAGCTGTCCATACATATACATGCATATACATACACACATACATTTGTACATGCATGCATATATACATACACACAAGACAAATTGGACGTAATTGACAGAATAAGTAATGGGACAGAGAAGCTATCTGTGAGCCTGGTCTAGCCATCCTAGAATCCCTCCACCAGCATGACTTAAAGTTGTAATTAGACAAAATTACAACTGTATTAACATTTTGGAGTGGGGAGGGGATGGAGAGGTGCATTGAGAAACTGCTGTGAGGTATACCACTAGCCGAAGTGAAAAAAAAAAAAGAAGAAGAAGAAGAAGAAAAGAAGAAACTAGATTATCTGTGTATTTCTCCCAACTCTCCCATCCCTGACACAATTTTGTGATATTGGACAAGTCTCTTAACATCCCTGGGTCTCAGTTTCCTCAACTGTAAAACAAAGCAGGTGGCCTAGATGGCCTCTAACTCTCCTTTTGGCTCTAGGTCTCTGATCCCATGAGACATTTCAGCTTGGCCTATATTCAACCATGCAGAGGCCGAAAAAACATGGGGAGATCTTCATCTTAACTAGCCAAAGGTGAGCACTGTGGTGAGTTTTAACTGGGGTATGAACACAAGAATGAGCTGGGATAATGATCAACAGGAGGGCTTACTTCATGAATAAATGAGTCCTATGTCAGGCCACATGTACCATCAGAACATGTTGGTTAGTCTGATAAGGAAGATGCATTATGTTTCCTTCCCCTTTTCCTCCCCTCACTGCCAAGAAAAAATTCTGAAGAACTGACCTCATTCATTGGGATATTTCTGTTTCTAGTTGTTCAATAGCATATACAAAGACTCCTTTAACAGTGAGTGTTGTGGGACACCCCACTTATTTTGCTGAAATGAAATTTTATTAGAAACCATATTCCCATTGGGGAAGGAATATTGGGGAGGAAATAGAGAGGGTGATACTAGAAATTAGGTCCTCCACTTTTGTCCTCCTTCCAGATCTCCTCTTCTTTCTCTTTCCCTCCTTCCTTCCTTCCTTCCTTCCTTCCTTCCTTCCTTCCTTCCTTCCTTCCTTCCTTCCTTCCTTCCTTCCCACCTCCCCCTTCGCTTTCCTTCCTATTTTTTTTCTTTTTTTCATGCTTTGTTTTTGATTGGAGTGGAAGTTTAATGGAGTTTTTATTTTTTTAATGTAGATATTTAGAATTAGACTGTGTCTTAGGAAGACTAAGAATAAAAGAAGTGAGAAGACTTCAGTCTAACTCTTCTGTTCTATCTGCAGTGTAGGCAGCAAATTATTACATGGGTTTTCTTCCTTCAATTTAACTTAATAAAATACCACAAACACTTCTTAAATAAGGTGTTGTATTACCTAAGGGGATAGAAAAGTGAGTGACGCATAGTCCTGGCCCTCATGTTCTTATCTAGCAGGGAAGATAAGATATGTACCCACAAAATATATATGCATAGGAAAGGTTCATAGGAAAAGTTCAAAGTACTACGAGATATCCAGACTGGGAGAACGACTGGGTGATGATTACGTGGACTGGAGTCACAGAAAGCATTTGTACAGTGGTCTTAGATGGAAAAAGTCCTTCGTATTTGGATGGACAAAGTATTGTTCATATAAGTTCATACTGTTCATATAAGTAACATGTAGGAATAGCTTTGTTATTAAAAAATTTTTTAAAAGGTGTTTTATTTCAATCTAATCTGTCTTTGGCTATTTTTTTTAGTTTTCAATCCAATTCAACAAGCATTCATTAAACACCTACTATGTGCAAGATGACTGCCTAGGCACTGAGGAAGACAAAAAAGGAAACTCTTTTTCATCCAGATGTTTAACACAGTGAACACACAGACTGAGCAGGTAACCAGAAGCATTCTGCCTTGAGCTTTCCCTTCTATGAGAGCCTAAATTTGACAGAGAGAGTGCCCCCGGAGCAATAATTTCAGCTGTCATGCAAAACATTCACAAAAAACACCAATTTCACTTACCTGAGGGTGTTGGGAACAGTGAACTAAGAGCCAGCGACCTGAGTTCTTCAGTTCTTACCTGTGCTACTACCTCTGTGACACTGGGCAAGTAACAACCTTTCTGGACCTCATTTTCCTCATCTGTAAAATGATAGAGCTGGACTAGAGGACTTCTAAGGTCTAATTAAGATTCTGTGATTCTGTAACTACTTCTTACCCAAATGAGAACAGTCCCATCACTGAAAATATGTCTTCTCATCAAGACCAGTTGGAATTTATTTTTATATTGCCCACATTTTCATACCATGTTTTCTTTCTCCATTTTGACAAATAATTTAGCATTCGTTGCATAAAATAAATTACTTCAACTCAGCTCAAAAGAGAAGATTGATCAATTCCAATCTAATTCCATCTGTAATTATGACAAAATAAATAATACTCCATCTTTTTGTGGATGGGTTTTTTAAAGTTAGAAATCAGATTTCTAAGTTTCTTGCTATTTAAAGGCCCCTCAAGTTGCTAGACTTTTTTCTACATTTGCGAAACAGACACAGCTCCAAGTTGTTGCTTTTTTCCTTCTCAAAATAAATATTTGTGTGTGTTTGCATTAGGGAAAAAATAGCAACACCAGCTAAGTCATGAGAAAATTTAAAATAACACTTTCATATAAGATACTGGCAATGGAATAAATAGCATGGACATAAAATCTTGTGAAAAATAATTTTTTAGTGATCGTGAAATAAGGTTTTCAAAATAAGGTATTCAAAAGTTATGAATAAGATCTCAAAAGCGAATGCTAGGCAGATATGTCTAGTATTTTCTTTGCCCACCTAAATGATTGAATTTGCTGGTGCTGATCATATTCAGAAGAAGAGTTGAAATATATAGAAGAAAACAACTATATAAACTAAAAATGTATTAAAAGTGATATATTAAAACTGACCTAATTATTCTCCTAAGGATTAAATTTGGACTATATATGGTCTTCACAACACAGTTTAGGAAGGATTTTACTATCTAGAGAGGCAATGTGGATTTAATGCATTGAGGGCCATCTTCATAGTCAGGAGGACCTGAGTTCAAGTTCTGACTCTAACACATCGTAGCTATATTATCATAGGAAAGTCCTTTAACGGCTCAGTGCTCCAGTAAATTCTCTAAGACTGTAAGTTACAAACCAATTCCCAATTAGCATTGGAAAATTTCTATATAGGCAATTCTATAATCCAATGTAATCTTAGGTTCAATAAAAAAATAAATTAACATCCAGAAAACATGAGGGTACACCCCAAAATCATATTAGAGTATCAGCTGAAGAAGCTAGAGCCATTAAGCCTGGAGAAGACTTGAGAAGATATGATAGTTGTTCTTAAATATATTGATAATCATGAAGTAAAGGAAGAGCCAGTAAGTAAACTTGATGTTAAAAAAAAAAAGATGCTTTCAAAGCAATTAGAGCCTCCTAAAATGAAATTAACTGAATTGATAGGTAAGGGGTTTGCTATCAGTCAAGGTATCTGAGGAAAGGCAAACTGTAAAGGATATTGAATAGGTGATTCACACCTTAGATGGTAGTTGGAGTAGGTGACTTCTGAAGTCTCTTACAATTCTAAAATTCTATGATTTTATGATTCTATGATTAACACCTCTTTTCCTAGGGTGGATGTGACAGCCAAATGAGGTAGTATTTGTAAAGTGAGGTAGAATATAAAAGTATGTAGTAAATGTCAATTGAAATACTTGCCTACATTCAAAAGGCTACTATTATTTAAGATGGTTAATAGAAAGAATTCACTATTTTTTATTAGTAGTAATAAATATCAACTGAATGATACAGATTTTTAATTACACATGAAAAACTCTGATTTGCCTTTCTTGGACCCAGATGCTGAAGACAAAAGGAATCTGGCTCAGAAAAAAAGAAAGTTACTAGTTCAAGGGTAAAGGTTTTCTTATACACAGAGCCATAACTAGGGTAAGGCAATCTGAGCTTTGTTCTACATTGATGAAATTTAGAGAGTATAGACAGCACCATCTTGGGGCAGGCTCTCCCTGACACCCTGGCAGCTGGGGTGAACTCCTTCCTTGACAGGCCCTTGCTCAGTAATGATGACCTTACCCTGAGTGGTGTTTCTTGAATCTAGCAGCTATATTTCTGGTTTTGGTCCCTATGCCTTACTCCCTGTAGCAATGGCCAGTTCTTCAGTAGAATAAAACCTTATCGTCCTAGGACTTGCTTTCTTCCTCTAGTGGCCAAATACTATGTGTGTTCTCCCCCTATTTTCCCTTCTTCCTCTACCTTAAGCATAAACATTCCCAGTCACAAATATCTATTAACATCAACTAATTTAATTTCATTGAAAAACCCTTCCTGGGTAGAGCCAAGATGGCAGAGTAAAGACAGGGACTCATCTGAGCTCTCCCCCAAACCTCTCCAAATATATTTAAAAATGACTCTAAACAAATTCTAGAGCAGCAGAACCCACAAAAAGAGTGAAACAAATTTCCAACCCAAGACAATCTGGAAGGTAGACAGGAAAGGTCTTTTGCACCATGGTGAGAGAGGAGCACAGTCCATTGCAGGCTGCACCAGCACATACAGAGCCCTAGCAAACCCAGAGTAGGCTTTGGGGTGACTGAATCACTGGCAGCAGTGGCAGTTTTCAGACTTCTCAGCCCACAGACACCAAAGACAACTTAGAAGGTAAGCAAGAAAGGTCTATCAGACCTGGATGAGAGAGGAGCACAGGCTGCACCAGGATAACTCAGACCACAGCAAACCAGGAGCAGGCCTTGAGAGTGACTGAATCAGCAGTGGCAGCAGCTGCTTCCAGAGCTCTCAGCATACAGACGGTAAGAGGGCCGAACAATTGGTCACAAGGGGATTACAGGGGTCTCTCTGCTAGCGCTGAGGCAGTACTCTGTTGCTTTGCCCATACTTGGATCTGGGTTGCAGTTCTGGGTGGCAGTACTGGGGTGAGGAGCACTAGCATAGCAGAGCTTGTAGCAGCAGTGGAGATGGGGACACTTCTCACAGTTCCAGGGCAGAAAAGAGTGCTTGTGGTGGCTCACAGACCAGAGCACAGTACAGGAGAGGAGTAAATACCTCTCCTTAGATCATTGGAAGAACTGAAAACTTATAGGCCCCTAGAAACATCTCTGAAAACAGCTGCACAAAATCCCTGAAGTTTGGGACAGTTCTACCCTGGAAGCACCCTGGAACCTTAACAATGAATTTAAAAGTCAAGTAATAGGCTGGGAAAATGAGCAAGCAATGAAAAAAAAAACTGACTATAGAAGCTTACTTTGGTGACAAGTAAGATCAAAACATGCATTCAGAAGAAGAAAACAAAGTCAAAGTTCCTACATCCAAAGCCTTCAGGAAAACTATGAATTGAACTCAGGCCATGGAAGAGCTCAAAAGGGATTTTGAAAATCGAAGTAAGAAAGATGGAAGAAAAATTGGCAAGAGAAAAGAGAGTGATGCTAGAAAATCATGAAAGATGAGTTAAGAGTTTGGTAAAGAAGACCAAAAAATACTGAAGAAAATTAACACCTTAAAAAATAGAGTAAGGCCAAATGATAAAAGAGGTCCAAAAAGGACCTGAGGAGAAGAATGTCTTAAAAGCAGAATTGGCCAAGTGGAAAAGGTGTTCCAAAAGCTCACTGAAGAAAATAATTACTTAAAAATTAGAATTGAGCAAATGGAAGCTAGTGACTTTATGGAAATCAAGAAACTATAAAATAAAACCAAAAGAATGACAAAATAGAAGGCAATGTGAAATATCTTGTTGGAAAAACAACTGAACTGGAAAATAGATCCAGGAAAGATAACTTAAAAATTATGGACTACCTGAAAGTCATGATCAAAAAAAAAAAAAGCCTAGGCATCATCTCTCAAGAAATTATCAAGGAAAACTGCCCTGATATTCTAGAACCAGATGGTAAAATAAAAATTAAAAGAATACACTGATCACCTCCTCAATGAAATCCCAAAATGAAAACTGCCAGGAATATAGCCAAATAGCCAAATTCTAGAATTCCCAGGTCAAGGAGAAAATATTGCAAGCAGCCAGAAAGAAACAATTCAAGTATCATGGAGCCACAGTCAGGATAACACAAGATTTAGCAGGTTCTACATCAAAGGATTGGAGGGCTTGGAATATGATATTCCAGAGGGCAAAGAAGCTAGGATTACAACCAAGAATCACCTATCCAACAAAACTGAGTACGGTGCTTCAGGGGGAAAATGGACATTCAATGAGATAGTGGACTTTCAAGCATTCTTGAGAAAAGACCAGAGCTAAATAGAAAATTTGACTTTCAAATACAAGACTCAAGGGAAGCATAAAAAGGTAAACAGGAAAGAGAAATCATAAGAGACTTATTAAAGTTAAACTGTTCACATTCCTACATGGAAACATATTTGTAACTCATAAGACTTTTCTCAATTATTAGGGTAGTTGGAAAGAATATATATAGACAGAGGGCATAGGTGTGAGTTGAATATGAAGGGATGATATCTAAAAAATAAAATTAAGGGATGAGAGAGAAATGTACTGGGAGAAAGAGAAAGGGAGAGGTAGAATGGTGTAAATTATCTCACATAAAAGAGGCAAAAAAAGCTTTTACAGCGGAGGGGAAGAGGGGGTTGGTGATGGGGAGTGAGTGAACCTTACTCTCATCACAATTGGCTCAAAGAGGGAATAGCATACACACACAATTGAGTATAGAAATCTATCTTACCCTATAGAGAGGTCAGACTGGAGGAGGGGTAGTCAGCAGCAAAAC